TTTGAGAGAGAGAGAGAGAGAGAGACAGGCTCTGAGTGGGGAAGGGGCAGAGAGAGAGGGAGACGCAGAATCTGAAGCAGGCTCTAGGCTCCAAGGTGTCAGCCCAGAGCCCGACGTGGGGCTGGAACTCACGAACCGTGAGATCATGACCTGAGCCGAAGTCGGACGCTTAACCGACTGGCCCACCCAGGCGCCCCTGGATAATTTTTAAACAGACTAAAAATTATGGTCTCCAAGTTTAAGTGTACAGATGGGAAAGTTTATAGGCGGCACACCTACATCAGTTTTGGCCACAAAATCGTGTGACGTGGGAGAATTCGAATGGAATTTGTCTCAACCTGCAGGAAGCAACTGAATGAAGGTGCCACCGCCACCCACTCTGAGCTGAGCAACGCACAGGTCCTTCAAGACTGCTCAGGTGACAGTGACTTCCGATGTTGATAAAGGAAGGAAACCGGTGGTAATTTGTGTATCGAATACTCGCATAATGAAGTCAGAGGTTTCCAATTTTCTTCCTGTGTCTTCGGTTGCGGGCACCCAGCTTTGGGAGCAGTAGAAAGGCACCAGGAAGCCTTAACTGGAGGAGAAGCATCCCCAGGTCTCTGGTTTACAAGCATAGGTGACCAGTAAAGTTACTGGGAGGGCCAGAAAGGGGACAGCGGAGGCAAAAAGACAGAAGGAGGCTGGGGCCCAGGCCGGAGTGGCGCAAGGATAGAGGGGAAGGGGTGGATTGGAGGGACATTTTGGAGATACACTTCACGAAGTTTGGATGTGGAATGAGGGGAAAAACATCTGGAGTGGCCAGGAAGATGGCACCCTTCCCTGAGTATGAAAGGAAGGACGCAGGGATAGACTCTTACGAGTTCAATTTGGGACTGTATGACCTTCTACCCTTGTGTGTTACGAAGGTGACATTTCACAGCCCTGGAAGTGGAGATCCGGGGCAGGTGAAGCAAAGCCAGTGTCTCTTGTCTCATTTCTCAGCCCTCTGTGTGATGAGGTTCTTTGGGTTGTTTTTGTTTTTTTGTTTTTTTTGTTTTGGGAAATCATCCATTTCTGAGACTCTGAAGAGAGCCACTGATTGTCTCCACCTCAGAAGAGTAACGTACATGCCCCAGCATAAAATTGTGTGTGTGCTTTCTAGGGCCCCTGGTCCCGCGGAGGTCCATCCACAGCTCCAGATTGGAGCCCAGCCCTGACTGGCAACCTTGCCATCCTCCAAACGTGCCTTATGTCCCCGTTGCTGTGCCATTCTTCTGAGTCAGAGATAATTTGCTAATTATAAGTCACTTCCTATTTTAGAAGCCCTGATGACTTATGGTCAAATGCTCATGTTCATCATGCTGACTAAAGAATTGTAATTTTTAAACCCGGGTGAGAGATGGGAGGAAGAACAGAGAGAAAGAGGGGAGGTGAATTTGAGGCTTTAGATTCCTCTGGGAAGGCATTCAGGTAGCTCATACAGGATGCGACTCGATGGGACACACAGCTCCACCTGTATGTGATTCTTGCCTCATGGAACCCGACTTGAATACAAAGTACAGCACAGAAAAACAAGGTAGATTTTTTTAATGTTTATTTATTTTTAAGAGAGAGAGAGAAAGAGAGGCAGAGCACGAGCAGGGGAGGGGCAGAAAGACAGGGAGACACAGAATCCGAAGCAGGCTCCAGGCTCTGAGCTGTGAGCACAGAGCCCAATGTGGGGCTCCAGCCCACGAACTGCAAGATCATCACCTGAGCCGAAATTGGACACTTAACCAACTGAGCCACCCAGGTGCCCCCAGAAAGCGATGCCGGAAGAAAGGCATCAGCCAAATCCAGAATGTGGGCTCTTCTACAGAAACGACCCAATTGCCCCCAACAAGTTAATAGGATGAAAAATTATAAGGGAATGTTCCAGAATAAAAGAGCCTTAAGCAATGGGAGCAATCCAAAGCAGTAGGACTAAGTCTGTAAGTGGACAATCTGAGACGTTAGAACACGTACTTAGCATTGGATGACACTAAAGATAATTTAGGTAGGTATGAAAATGGTGGTTGTGGAAAACGAAGTTATCCATTACAGATGCACACTGATGTACTTGTGGGTGTGAGGACACAGCTGGGATTTGCTTTGAAATAATCTAGAAATAAAGAGGGAGTGACAGATAAAGCAAATCTGGCAAAATGTTAGTAACTGTTGAAATCAGATGACGGATACATGGGGGTTCGTTATACTCTTACTTTCTTGTGTGTTAACATTTCCCACAATAGGTTAATTTTTTATTTTTTGAGAGACAGAGAGAGACAGAACGTGAGCGGGGGAGGGACAGAGAGAGAGGGAGACACAGAATCCGAAGCAGGCTTCGGGCTCTGAGCTGTCAGCACAGAGCTCCGTGCGGGGCTTGAACTCAGGAGCCGTGAGATCGTGATCTGAGTTGAAGTCTGAGGCTCAACCCACTGAGCCACCCAGGCGCACCTCCCACAAGAAGTTTAAAAAAAAGATCACAAATGATTTTGTTCAAAGCACAGTTCTGAAATCTGGCTGATGATCAGAATCTCCTGGGGAGCTTTAAAGAAGTAGATTCTGGGAGCTGCGGTCCTCTTGAATTAATCTTCTGTGGATATGTTTGCACTGGGCGGAAGAATGTGTCATTTTACAACTTCCTGGGACTCTGGTGCTGCCAGTCCTTGTGGCCACCACAGCCACAGGTCATCTCTTCCAAGTTCTGACCCGGAGAAGATCTTACACCAGGCTTCCCTCCTCCCTCCTCTCTCTCTGTCTTTCCCATCTCTCTCTGTGCTCCCCTCTCTTGCTTTCCTTTTATGCACTGCATTAAGGCCAAGGGCAGGAACCTTTGGAGGAGGGCAGGAACCTTTGGAGGAGGACAGGAACCTAACGTCTCCTGGGAACGGGCACAGGTGGACCCTTCCCACTCCCGTCCGAGCCTCAGTGTCCTCACTGTTGAAGGTTGCTCTACTCTCATGCGGTTAATTAACATCGTTCACAAAGTTCTCTTACTACCCAGGAGTGGGACATGTGTCCACTGCCCACGTGTACCTCGAAATGAAGCTGTTTGGGAAACATGGCCTTAATATTTGGGTCTCTTTCTTTCATCATTTGTAGACAAAAAACATTAAAATCTGTTCTTAAATAATTTATTTTTTTAATAGTGACTTTTGTAAAAAGTTACACTTATTTAGGAAAACTTGAAGAAATTCAACAGAGTAAATGGCTATTAGGGACAACTAAATGTGCAAATTTCAAATGCTTTCTATATTAAGTATAAATAATTCCATTTTTTCACATTAAGAATGAAAATATTGATAAACACAAAATATTAAAATACAACCTGTAGAAGAACTAGCTGAACACTGAAGTTTATTTAAAATCTTTAGAAAAAAATTATTAAGATTGATGTCCAGCAAAGAGGCTGGTGGCATCGCGAGTGGCAAACATGTCAGATAACACATGTAAAGGCTACGTAGAGTTATAGACGGCTAATATTTTCAAGTTGTAAGTTCCAGACCAAAAAAAAAAAAAAAAAGGCAGCCTTTACCTCTGGGAACAATGTGTTTCCCCGTTTTGTCTAGAACAAGCATGACAAGAATACAAAGCATATCGAGAAACTGCAGGCTGAGGACAGAAAGAAATTTCCTTAAGCTCATGGTCACAGGGTTTTGCTGTCCCAATGCTAAGGGGCCACTGGATGTGAGGTCACTGCCAGCACCTGGGGACATAGCGTTAGCACAGCAAATAAAACCATCATTAAAGGCCACACCTTCCCCGTGACCTTCTCCAATCTCATCCCTGTTCCTTCCTAATCTTATCTCTAAGGAGGTAGGATACTCAGACGCATGTCTCTACTGTTTCTTGTCATATGGCTGAGAAGTGGCTCTGACCGAAAGCTTCATTAAGAAGCATGAGCTTTTAATGAATTAACCTTTGATGCAATTCCTTCTTTCTTAGGGAAGGCAAACCAAAGTGCATCCAAGAGGCCAAATCCCCAACGCAGTCAGGGACTTGTGCCAGTGCCGGTGACACGAACCACTATGACCATGTTATTTCAAGACACTACAGCAAGCGTTTTCCCCAAAGCAGAAGAAACGTCTTCATTTAAATAACATTGAAGTTTGCAATAAAATAAATAAAGTGACTTACGTAAACACAACAGGGAGCTCACTTTAACAAGGCAGCTGGTTAAATTCACGCAAGCTATATACAGACGGTGCCCCTGACCACAACCAGAAAATAGGTTGTTATTCAGTCTTCCTACTTAAATCTCTAGGGCAGCATTTCACCGGAATAAGAAAAAAATCCCTCATACGTAATATAAGGGCACATTATACATGTACACACTTTGATGCACACATCACCCTAACTTCGAAGGGAAGACGGTGATAACCAAGAGAGTCACACGTCTTCCCCCTATGGAAATAACTGGATTTTTCCAAGGTGCATACTGTAAAGAGCAGCTGGTTTGCTTTTCAGTGTGAACGTGTTCGGTTGCAGCAGGCCTCAGAATCAGTCTGTGGATGGTTCTGCTTCTGCCGTGTCCGTGGGCCAGGAGCCAGGCAGGTGGGGAAAAACCACTAACTACTGACTCTCTGAATGTGTCCACTCTCCCTGAGCTTCCCGGGCGTCTGGCAGAGGGCCCGCGGGCCGTGGGGCTTCGGCTTCACGTCTGTGAGCGAGGCCGACGCGGGGCTGGCCAGGAGGAAGGGCTCCGGGTTCCCCGGCCCGTCCCGAGGCCACGCAGCTCCCGGCCTTCCGCATGGCAGGTGAGGACGAGCTCTGGGCCGGACCGACACCATCCACCGCCAGTCGCTAGCTTCGCTCGAGGGCCGCCTGGGAACGTTCCTCGCGACGGCGACCGAGAGCTTATCTTCCCTCCCGGCTGGAAGCCCCCGGGAGCTCTCTGCCTCGGGGACGGCCCTCGGCGGTGTCAGCGCGTTGAGGGCATAGCACCATGCTGGCTAGTGGCTCGAGGCCCCCGGCGGCCGGGCGGGCCGCCGCTGCCGTCAGCCGTACAGCTGCTTGAACTGGAAGCACTCGTTGCAGTAGCCGTTACACTTGGCGTTGCCGAAGTGGTCGCAGGCGGGGGCGCGGCAGCGCTGCTTGGGCGGCTCCTCGGGGGCCGGCTCGCCCCGGTGCGGCGTCGGGCCCGCTCGCTGGCTGAGGTGCTGGCACTCCATGCAGAGCTCCTCGCTGCGGCAGGCCAGGATGTTCTTGCAGGAGGCCCGGGCGCACTTGGGCCTCGAGGCGCTCGGCGTGGTCCGAGGCACGTCTCTGCGCTGGCTCGATCTCTGAGAGGGAACAACAGAGGGAACGGTGGGTCCCGCTACTCGGGGACAGCACGGGGCAATCTCAGCAGACAGCGTGGGTTCTGCAAGGAGCTCTACAGGGCGCAGAGCATCCCCCTGGCCCAGGGGCCAGAGCTCCGGAAGCAGATCCCTGGGAACAGGAGCTGGCAATCAGGGTGGCGCTTCCTCCAGTGCAACGAGCCTGGCCAGGAGGCGGTGGGCCAAGCTCACCGGGCCTGCGGCGCTGGCGGCTCACTCACTGCTGCGTGAATAATAAGCTGCCCTTGGCCCAAACTCACTGCCATCTATGAGCTGGAACAGGCGTGTGTCGTGGCTTTTTCTTAGGTGCCGATGCGCGCAGAGGCCGGGGACGCTCTGCCTCACTCCCGTCTGCGTGGTAAGGATTACTTGAGGACCTGCTAGCCTCTTAGATGCCTGTGCTTCGACTACAAACCCAAGAAGTCTCTGGTCAGCATCTAGCTTTTTGGAGGCTTTAGGAGGTTTAAGTGTTTTTTTAATTTTTTTAACGTTTATTTATTTGTGAGAGAGAGACCAGGTGTGTGGGGGAGGAAGCTGGGAGGAGAGGAGAAGACACAAGTCGAAGCTGAGCACAGAGGCCCAACCTGGGAGGCTGCCGAACTCTGTGGACAAGTGATCCCCTTAGTGACTGAGCGAAGCAGGCAGCTTAACAGACTGAGTGAGCCACCCAGGGCCCAGGAGGCTTTATGAGGTTTTAATCTATGGCTGAAACTGTGCCTGGATAATTATTTACTAGCTAAAAGCTTTATTTATTTATTTTTGGTTAGGGTAGCACCGGAGTGGAGGGCAGAGAGCAGAAGGAAGGGGGAGACTTGAATCCCAAGCTTGAGCTCCACACTGTCGAAAGCATGAAACCCAATCTGAGACTCCGAATCGTGAAACTGTGAGATCCTGACCTGAGCAGAAACCAAGAGTCGGACGCTTTACAGACTGAGCCACCCAGGCGCCCCTATTTACTTTTCAAATGCATTCTAAAGTATCCTTCGGCCATGAAAATCAAGAGCCGCTGCTGCACTTCCAACCCTGGGCGCCACAGTGACCCCGCCCCACTCCCATTCCTCCCCGGAACAGGGAGGAAAGTCTGCTTGTCACCGAGGGGCAGCAAGGAGGGCTGGCCCAGTGGGGAGGGGGGAGGACCTCAAAATGTCTCACCAGGTGCTCTTCAGTCCTTTTCGCCTCGTGAAATCTCTGGGTCTGCGCTTCGATGAAACACTTCTGGCAGTACCCTTCGAACACGGTGCTTCCGAGGGTGCCGCATTCCCTCCCCAGGCAGGGGACGGCATTCTGGAACCTGGGGGCCGTGGGACTGGCCTTCGTGGAAGCGGCGACGAAATCTAAAAGACAGCGGGTGCTGATCAGTGCCACGGGTCGTCTCCAGGCAGGGAGAGACACTGACATTAGAGGAACAAAACAGGTTTCGGACACAGATTCGGGTAGCCTGCGGGGGGCGGGGCGGTGCAGCGCGGCCTTTTGTAAATACAGCCGAGTCAAAGACAGTAAAGATAATGCCATTACTGACACATCTTTGACTGTATAAATCTCTCATTTTTGGACATGCTGTACCGGCCAGGCACAGCTACTGTGCAGAGGCATTAACTGCCCGTCCCTCTTTCAAATTAGATTTTCAGCACATCGGTGGGGACTTCCCTCTCTCCGGCTACTGCTCTTCAGATTTTGGGTTTTCTCTATTGCATCTAAGTCTCCAAAGAAGTCTTGGTTAAACTCTACCTTATAAATGCCAGACACTCAATGGCCTCGTTCGCGAAAACAAATTCTACGGATGCTACCTACGAGGCACTGTAGGGTTTTGGAAGGTGGTTTCCTGTGCCTTTCGCCTCCACGTGGGGCTGGCACAGCCACGGTGACCGTCCCTCTGTGCAAGCCGCACCTGGCCCCATCGCCCAGAGCGGCCGCCTTCTTGAAGCTCAGGAACTAAACCGCTTCGAGATAGGGGTTTTGAAACGGGAGTTGGGAAATCGATCATGTCACTCACGTTTGTTTTCTCTGTACTCGATGAAACACAGCGTACAGAAGCCTTTGTTTTCTGGAGTCCCGAAATACATGCAGCCGGCTTTTCTGCACTTGCTCGTCCCTGTCCTGTCCCCTGGAGTCCGTGGGGCCTGAGAGAGGCAGCCAGAGGGAGCCTCGGTCCCAGCTCTGCGGCAAGAATGTGGGGAGAGACTCTGGATGAGCTGCGAGGGGTCCGACTTGGACCTCTGGTGACAGGAAGGAGGGACGCTGGAGCTGAGGCCCGAGGAGGGCTCTGCCGTAGTCCTTTTGAAGCAAGTACTGCAGATTCCATTAAACGTCCTGGTGACATCCTGCAGGCAGGCTCGGCACTTCCCGGGGTCTAAGTGCCTCATGCTGTCCGAGGTGTGGCCCGCGTTAAGCTGCCGGGCCTGGTGGCACCGCTCACAGAATCCGTTGTGCTGCACGTTCAGCGTGAAAGGGCAGCCGGGGCTCCTGCATTTCATGGCGGTGGTCTCGCTGAACAGGAAAAGGCTGGGCGCCGTCGGAGGGGCCGAATGAGGCCCCCCGGTCGGCTCCTCGGGGCTCCAGCCCCCGGGCTCGTAGGCCTCACCCCGCGAGGCCCCGGCCGCCACGCCTGGGAGCCCCTCGGGGCCCGGCTTGGAGTGCAGCTTTGAGGACTTGGTGTGGTTGTTTTGCCGCCTCTCGGAGCACTCGTGGCACAAAGGCTGGGTGTTCACGGACATGAAGAAAGGACAGTTGGGCGTTTCACATTTTACGTCCATGAGGGAGAGCTGGGGCACGGAAGGTTCCAAAGGGTTCTGAGCATGCGCCTCTCTCCGCTCTTGCTCACTGTTCTCCTGCCACTTCTTGTACTCGTGCTGGACGAGTTCAAAGTAATCATCTACCAAGTTTATTTCTTTTGGTAAGTTAGCTTCATCCAGCCTAAAGACCAAAAGGCGACATATGAGACCACGTGGCCACACACACGACTTCACGTCATTAGCTCACAGGGCAAAACTTTTAGCATGTGGCTATGGCAGTAACTGGATAACCATTCACTGAAAAGCAGGCCTATGATAAAGGGTTTGCACTCCTAGCACAGTCCTATACTGCTAAGAAGGCTTCATTATTTCAGGAACCACTGTCTTACTTAATCAATCTCGCACCACCCCAAGTGACAGCTAATTCCAAAGAAAGGGCTATTCTGGGGCTGCCTCTATACCTAATTACTCTGGTCCTCTCTTAAAAAGTCACTTTTACCTTTTAACTCCTCAGAGACCCAATTTCTGGTAAAACATGACTCAGGGCATTCGTTTGGGACTAGGCTACTCTATAGTTCAAACTACTCTGGGACTTTGTGTCCCATGTTTTGCCGTTATTAATCTTAAACTTGTGCCTGGTCTCTATCAGCATGAACTGCTAGTCTCAGTCGAGGAGCGGAAGACACGCCCACGGGGCGCTGTCCACTGACTTCTGATCATCTGTAATTTGCTCATCTCCACTGGAAGAAACTGATGCTCATAGGCCTTCATGGTCCTCTCTTGTACATTTCAAGTCCTAAGAAACGGGCATCCCTCTAACATAAAGCCCAGTGTTTAAGGTCTGGATACGTGCACAATGTGCACTCTGAGTCTCTCCTCCACCTTCCAAGTTGGCACAATCCTATGGCCGCCGTAGAAACCCAATCTACAACCCAGTCTGTGTCTGATGTGTCTGTCCGGACCAAGAAGCCAAGAGAAAAAGGCTTTTGTTTCCAAGGATTTTCACTTGCTGGCCCACTGCTAGGGCCATTCAACGAAACAAAACAAAACTATCGTTGGTTTAATATACTTAAAAGCCACAGCGCTGACCGTCGGCATCCAGATATGCAGGCAAATCGCTATGGATAAAGTACTTGTTCTCACGTGAAACCAAAGTTAGGACTGCCTCCGGTCACCCTCTCTGATTCATGTACACAACTCTGGATTTGTTTCACATTGGAGGAAACTGGCTTCGAATAGCTTTACTGTGGAGCTCGGGGGTGGCCTCAGCTTACGTGGCTGTCGTACAAACAGCTGAGGATGACAGAGGGAGGAAGAGAGCTAAGAGTAAACTCTTACTTTGCAGCATTGATCAAATGGGTGGTGCCGTGGTCCCAGCCTTGGACAGGGATTTCGATCACCATCAAGTACTCTTTCAAGAGCTTTTCCTTCATCTCATTTTCAGGATCGGTCAAAAAGTGAACTTTTAAGTCTTCAAATCTTCCTCGCTCTCTGTTAACAAGTGGAACAGCTCGGATTTCTGGGGGAGGGGGGGGCGGGAAACAAAATAACACATCAGCAACATGTGATTCCACTACATGAGATTACTTGTGAGGCCGCACAGATGTAACGATTAAATTCTGCAAACACAAAAAGGATACAATTAAAGAACTTTGGAAAAGTATTATCAAACTCAGCTGGTGGAGCAAACTATACTAAACTCTAACATCCAGTGCTTTCTTCAGGAAGCTCAGGAAATACCAAGCAGCCTGGAGGCAGTGGATCTCACTGGTTAAATCCCAGAATTCAGAATCGGACTGATCTGATTTTCGATCCTCTGTGATAGAAGGCAAGTTACTGAACCGCTCTGAGCTTCAAGGGTCTCATCTATAAAAACAAGGCCACCAATGCTTACAGCCCATACACCCTTACACCCTGTGTATTACAGCTTACACCCTGTGGATGAAATGAAATAAGAATAATGTCCCTAAAGCACTTAGCACACTGCCTCTTCACTGGCTCTTCAAGCTATTATAATAATAGCTAACCTGACAGACCTTTACCTGCACCATGCCAGGGCTCTGTGCCTTACTTTGTCATGTATCAATGGCAGTAGGAATGTGATGCTTATATCTCCTACTTGAAAGTACTGCCACACCATACACAACGACGGCCGGGTTTACGATTACTGCTATTGCAGTATTGGTGCGAATCAGGCCCCTAACAGAACACCGTATTCAAGTAAAAATAATAACCGTAAATGAGGCGATTGTCATAGGGCCCAAAGAGCCTGGTGTTCAGTGGGAACAGGGTGTCCCAGTATCGACCAGTAGTTACAAGTGTGGATTCACGCGCAGTTTTCTCACCAGGGCCGCTGTCCTTCAGGGTCACCAGGGGTACAAAGTGCTGGCTGTCGTAGCCGAGAATGATGGGGTATCGGTAGCATTCTTGGGCCGGCCAGTGGAGAGGCAGGTAAATCCCGCCCACCTTCAAAGGAGCGAAATTGGAACCCGATTCCAGACTTCTCAGCATTTTGTCTGTGTAGGGAAAGAGAAAGAGATAAATAAGGCCCGCTGGTGATTTTCACCCAATTCTCTTCAGCTGCTGTTGCCTACGACTTAGGTAGCATGGGTTTTTCCTAAGAGCTAAAGCATTAGAGCCGAACGGCCCTTGAACACAAATAAGCAGTGTACAGGCATCTCACCTGAAATGACAATGATCGGCCTTCTGAGTATGTTGCAAAGGACAAAGATGTGTATTTCTTCCAGTGAGTTATACTGAAGTCCACCTCGGGCCATGGGTGTGTCTGTGGATGCCATTTTGACGAGGCTGTCCCACTCATCGGTCCAATTCTAAGGAGAAGGGGTAAAGGGAAAAATCACGATTGAGTGAATGTTCTCAGCGTTAAAAACTCAGTCGACTTCGCTCTCTACTGATTCATTTATGGAACTCAGCTGACTTTTCCCCTTTCTGGAAACCATCATTCAAATGATCACCCTTTTTTCCCCATTTTGGTGTTCTTCCTTTATTTTTTCCACTAGAAGGCAAACTTAAAAAGTGGGGGAGGATGGGGACAGCACCTGTTCTCAAAAAAAAAAAAAAAAAAAAATCCCTCATGAGGCATAGCACCAAAGCCCCTTACCCAAATGCACACAGAAATTCCAGGCCTGTGACTGAGAACAGTGAGGCCCACGTTTGAATTGGATTGGCAGGCTCAGTAAAGCATACAAAGGGCCAGTCAGATTGGAAAGCAACCAAAACACCACAGGCAAGGCCAGGAACAGAAGCCCTTCTGCTGAAAGGAAGAGACGCCACAGCTGGGAATCTGCTGCCTGGAAGCCCCCCCTGCGGTGGCAACAGCCTCAGGTTCATCCCATAGGAGGTTTCTGGTGTTTTCCACTGACTACGCTTTGCTTAGCCCAGTGCATGTGACCTTGTAGATCATAAGCTCCTTGAGAGCAGGGGGCTGGCCTGGGGAACCCCTGCCCACCAAGGAGCTCTATCAACAGACACTGAACGGGGGAGCAAAACATACCCGAGTGTCGTAGCAAAGCCCCGTTTCCACAAACTCCTGAGACTTAAGAGACTCCAGCTGCCAGCGGAATTTAAAGTTGCGCGTATCTGTCTCCTTGAGAGTGCTGAAGAGTGCCTTCCTCAGGACCAAGTCTGTGTCCTGAACACCCCACATGTACTGGGAAGCAGCGTGCATGAGGCAGTTTCCATCGCCTGAGGACAGAAGCAGCACACATCAAAGACCCAGCAAAGGTTTTCAGGATGCACTCGCCCTGGCTGGCGCAGGGCACTGAATAATAAGGCGTGAGAGAAATGCAAATGGCTTAATTTCTTAGTCAAAGGACACACTGAGAACACTTCACAAGCTAATGACAGCTTTAAGGAAAAAACCATCCTTTTCACTCTTGTTCTTAACGACTGACGCCAGCAGAGCAAAGGAGCCAGTGACTGATTATCAGGGGACCTTGGTTCTAGCCTAGCTCTGCCCTAACTAACTGATTTTGGTGTGACCTTGGGGGAAATTCCCCAGCTTCTGAGTATTTTTTTCTCTTCGTGAAACGAGAGCACTGGATTATAATCTCTAATGCCCGTCCCTTTCTAGCATTCCTTGATGTTTTGGCTAAGACACTAGTGCTGTTACTCGTCTGGCTCTAGAGAGAGAACACACGGGGTCATACGCACGAACCAGGAAGCTAGCCTGGCTCCCTTCACTAGACAGGGACGGTCTGGCTATGACTCAGTGGTAAATGACTTGACCATTCCGCTGAAGACTTTGGGGCCTGGGAGTTTCCTCTCCTGGTTTATACAGTGGGATTGAGACTCTCGAATTGCCTACCGCCAGCCTGCCTTCCAGCATTCTGAGAAAAAGACAGGTCTAACTTTATTCCATGAATTTGTTACTTTCACAGATGAAAACCCACGATTCAAGAGACTGCCTTTTTCCCCAACCTCCAAACAAGGAACGTTTGGGGGGAATGTGCAATACCAAAAAAGTTAACTCCTTACTCTCTGTTGGCGAGCACACAGTTGTTTTTATCGAGAAAAGTTCACCTGTTTTCTTACCTTACTCCCCAAGTAGGGCTATAAAAGCTTCTGAAATCTTTTTTTTTTTTTATCAGATTTTAATTATAGTCAAACTGTAAAAAAACCAAAACAGAACACCAAAGAAAACCCCTCACATACACATATCCACAGCCAGCATCCCTGCAATTTACACACAAAGACTAGCTAAATAAAATATTGAGACACATGAGTGAAAAAAAGATCGCGCAGTCCTTTGTCTTGGCAGAAGTGTGGCAACGACTGCATTCTGTTGAAATTTCCCCTTTGCAAAATCTAGAGCAAAGATAAGGCTTTTTTTTTTTCTTCTTCTTCTTCTCGCGCTTACTTTCAGTTCTTTATTGAGAGGCACCAGTACAAAATTCCCTAAGTAACATCAGGAATTCCCCAGCGCCAAGTTATTTGACTAGCAATTGAGCAACAGCTATTGTACTTTTTGTTCTGGTGTGCAGACATTTAAACTGTGAAGCGCACCCTGGACTTTCCAAGTGGGCGTGGCCAGGGTGAGCTGGAATAAGGCTATTCATTATACAAGTGAAATCGCTGTAGCCAATAGACGCTGGAATTTTTCACATGAAGTTTCAATTTTATGCCACCTACTCCCTTCCTCATTCACCACAGTCTCATATCCTCAAATGCAAACTTGTGAATCACCCCCTCCCCAAACAGACCATTCACTCTGTAGAACCCACCTAGAGGGGGAAGGTTGTTGTTTTTTTTTTTTAAAGGTGCTAATAAAAACCGGAGTAAAAATTTGTTTTTCCCCCTCCCCTAAATATCTTTTCTTCCTTTTCCAGAATTTTAAGGCATTTTCTTGAACCTGGGGAAATAAAAGGATCTGGGCCCCCAAATCCCTATTGCCCAGCAAATGGTATCAAAATGCACTTGCTTTTGCAGCTTTATTTGTAGCATGAACCCTTACTGGCTTAAATGACCTATCTTTGCAAGACAAGTGTTTACTATTTATATACATCGTTTTTGTTTTTTTTTTCTTAAGGAGAATTTCAACCTAAAATGTCAGTTAACTCTGTTAATGATAAGATGGTTTTCCTCTTCCTACCACGTTACTAATTTGGCAGAATCTCTCTGTTTCCAACTCTCCCAAAGTTCACTGTGTCGCTTTTTTGGTAACAAAAATGGGAGAGAGTTAAAACCACAAACTGTCAGGAATATAAACCCCTTGAGGATGACTTAACATAATTACCCACTTCTATGCATCACTTGATTTAAGGCCAAGAACAATGTAAACCCTACCTATTCCCAGTTTTCATTCTACCTTTATTTCCAAGAACCTGTGCTTCAAAAGTAGAGACAACGTGTTGAAGTAACGCACAAGACCACCCAGGACACAGCAAAATACGTATCTCCAATCACTCCACTTACCCAACTCCAAAATAGCCAAAGATAATGTACCAACTAAGTTAATTAACTTAATACTCTTATCATCTCCTTGTCAACAAGGATCTCCTCTGCTTGGATGTATTATTTGGATCGAGGTGGTCTTAACGAAGGACTGTTGTGGATGTAAGAACCTCTAAGATTCCTGTCCTCACTTAGACTATGAGCGTTTCATTGATTGTGAACAGTCTATTTGCTCCTTGTGATAATTCGCTATATGCTAATGCAGGATTTTGCATCTGCATAAAACAGTATGCTTGGATGTTTCCATGATATACCTACTCTTGCTCAAAGGAAGTAATCAAAATACAAAACAATAAAGCTTAGAACAGGAAACAGCTACTCATGGTAAAGGGCCATTGGGCAGACACACACAGACAGCAAAGAAATTCAGAACTAGGAATCCCTAAAAATAATAAAGTAGAGGTCTAAAGTCTGTGCCAAAAAGCTCAAGTACCTTTCTATCTCATATCATGGGACCAAAACCAACAGAACCGAGGTAAGAGCAGAGCCGACAACAAGGGGCCCCTTTTGTCCTCAACAGCCATGCACTGGTTAAGCCACACATGCAATCAATTCAAGAAGTGTAAGGTCATTATCACAAGCATCCTCTAATGGTAGTGGGAAATAACAACAGTAATACTAGTTTTTACACCATGCTTTCCTTTTGAACTGAAAACCTTCGAAGGTTTCCACTACTGGCCAGGGAAGCGTATTTTACAAAGGACTAAACAGACAGCCTCAGCAATTAGATACGGAAGTCATCTAATGGGAGGCATGGTGTTTAGAAATGCATTCCTCGAGCCTCAGTGCCTCTGCTCTCTAAGACACACAACTACAGAGTAGCCTTAACAAAAATAGTGGCAAAGGAAGCTTGCTTTCATCACATGCCTATCATAGAGTTTCTACACCGAAGCGTCCACGGTCTCAAGAGACTCGCGTCTGGGCTAGTGTGACCAGAATTTGACGAATTCTGCCGGCACCGTGGCGGCCAGCCCCGAGACCAAGCTTACCGTTCGTCTTCAGGGCCACCAGCTTCCTGACTTCTCGACACCAGTTCAGCTTCTTCTGGCTTTCGAGGGAGGCCTGGATGGTTCTGTCAATGAGCGCTTTGTGGATGATCTCCCGAAACTGGGGACAAAACTGGCAAGTTCTGAACATTTCCAGCGTGTACCGGTGCATGGATTTGAAATGGTGAATGATCCCGTTGGTAGGCTTAAATATATCTTCTGGAGTTCTCTCTCGTATCTTCACAGCTTTCCGCATGTTGCTCAAATACAAAGCCTGGGGAAGGAGTTGTTCAGCCATGGTGCTCTGCAACACCTGAAGAGGAGGGGGGGACAAAACCCATTCCGTGAGTCCAACTCCGATACCGCTCCTATATACCTGGCGGCAGGAAACCCCTGTGTTTGATCTGGTCATTACCCTGATCTGTAGGCAAAAGATCTTAGCCGCCTCTAGTCCCAGGATACTAGCTGGCCCCCAAGATGAACTCACACTGGACTCTTTTAAGTTACATCACTTTTACAGATTAGTCTAAACAAGAGAAGGAAGGCGGAGAGTGGGTACTGAGGAGGAGGGGAATAACCCGCGTTTTCAGTAACGTTTGTCAGGGAGCCAAGCCCATCTGTCAGCGACAGGTACTGTACCTCATAACCAACAAGCCCCCATCTCATTCTGACGCTACTCGGACACAGCCACTGGATCTCGGGAGCCCTGAATGCCAGTGCCAGGCACAAGGTAGTCCTGACAAGTCCGTGGCTCCTCCCCTATGACCACTCCCCTTGCTCTTAGGCAAAGCCTTGATTCATCTCTTGTAAGCCCTCCCTCCCTATACTGGAAAGTAAATGTTTTGTGAGAAATCTTGAAATATTATGTTGTCACATAGGCTGCTGATTCAAGTTTCTCCTTTAGCCCCAAGGTGAAATATTTAAAAAGAGCTTATTTCTAAAACGTATTCTAAAATTTATAGAGTTTTAACTGAGTATAACCAACGAAAAAAGCCTATTTCCAGTAAGATGCTTTGCAGTTTTAAGACCAGATAATAAGCAATCTTTCAGAACCTCTCCACTGAACTTTACAAGATCAGAATAAGAAACAGAAAAATAACAATAACAGAAGAAGAAATTTCACACTTCCAAGAGCAGGCATTAGAGCTCAATCATTTCAACTGCCAACCAGATTTATGATCAACCAACACTTGGATAATACATTCCCCGCCCCCCCCCCC